TGCTTTTGACTATAAGCAACAAAATCCCTACTCAAGTTGGCTGAAACATTCAGGAAAATATTTGGTTCAAAAATTGAAACCTGGAGGTAGGGTGGGCTTTAGGGCTGACCTGGAGTGTTTCCGGTTCAATTTCCCAGTAATTCTCTTGGTTCTCCTTTCTTCCCCTTATCAGCTTATTCCTTAGGCCGCTTTTAAGAACATTGAACTAGGCTCCAGTGTTGGGGCACAGTGGGTTAAGCCACCACCTGTGACACTAGCATACCAAAGGAGTGCTGGTTCTATTTCCTAAAGTGCCTGGGAAAGCAGTGGATGCCACCCACATGGGAGACCCAGGTGGAGTTCCTGGCTCCTGGCCTCAGCCTGGCCCAGCCCTGGCCATTGCAGCCTTTTGGGGAATGAACTAGAAGATGAAAGATATCTCTCTTTGTCTCCCTCTCTCTGTAACTTTATCTTTCAGATAAATAAGTCAATCTTTAAACAATAGAAAGGGATTTTGAACTATTCTGGCCTCACACCTGCGTGCGACTATACTAAGAGGTGAGGGAGAAGACACCTCTCCCTGTAGATCTTTATCCTGCACTATCAATGCCTAGATTGCATTTCAAGGATGGCACTAAACCAGTCCCTAAGGCCTACGATCATTTAAACCAATCCCTAGCAAGGATCCATACACCAGAAGTCTACCTCCTAGAATCAGGGTGTAATGGAAATAGAGAGGATAATCACAAAGTCCACCAGAGTGAGCCCAGCAGCTGTTGGAAATGTGATTCCAGAGCAAAAAGAGATACAGATTTGGGAGTCATTTGCATTCACATTAATTTGAAAGATTTGGGAGAATTTGAGATTACTTAGCATGACAGTGTATTGGAGAAGAAAAACAGAACACTGAAGAGCAGGTCCTTTAAAGAGCTAATGTTGAGTGATGGGAGCCAGCCTGAGAGAGTGAGCTGGGCCCAGGGAGGCCATATTTGTGGATCCAGGATAATAACAGCTTTTCTGAGACCGTGGCATGAGTCTTTGAAGATGATTTTTTTGCCGGCGCCGTGGCTCACTAGGCTAATCCTCCGCCTTGCGGCACCGGCACACCAGGTTCTAGTCCGGGTCGGGGCGCCGGAGTCTGTCCTGGTTGCCCCTCTTCCAGGCCAGCTCTCTGCTGTGGCCAGGGAGTGCAGAGGAGGATGGCCCAAGTGCTTGGGCCCTGCACCCATGGGAGACCAGGAGAAGCACTTGGCTCCTGGCTTCGGATCAGCACGGTGCACCAGCTGCAGCGCGCCGGGCGTGGCGGCCATTGGAGGGTGAACCAACGGCAAAGGAAGACCTTTCTCTCTCTCTCTCTCTCTCTCTCACTGTCCACTCTGCCTGTCAAAAAAAAAAAAAAAGATTTTTTTTTTCATTTGTTTTTCTTACCTCAGTGTAGTTCTTCACGGGCAAATTCCCTGCCATTTATTTCCTTCTCTCTCTCATGTTGTTCATAGAAGTTTCACTTTTAAAAAACATTTTATTTATTTATTTGAGAGGTAGAGTTATAGAGAGATGGAGAAATAGAGAGAAGGATCTTCTATCCACTGGTTCACTCCTCAAATGGTCACAATGGCCAGAGCTGGGCTGATCTGAAGCCAGGAGCCAGGAGCTTCTTCTAGGTCTCCTATGCAAGTGCAGGAGCCCAAGGACTTGGGCCATCTTCTACTATTTTGCCACCTATAGCAAAGAGCTGGATCGGAAGTGGAGTAGCCGAGATAGGAAACAGTAACCATACGCGATGCCAGTGCCGCAGGAGGAGGCTTAGCCTACCATACCACAGTGCCAGCCCCCAAAATTTCATTTTTTAAAAAATTCATTTGAAAGGCAGACTGACAGAGAGGGAGAAAAGGAGAGAAAGAGAGCGCTTTCACCTACTAGTTTATTCCCCAAATTTTTGCAATCGCCAGGGCTGGGCCATGATGAAGACAGGAACCTGAAACGCCATCCATATCTCCCATTTGGGTGGCAGGCGCCCAAGTACTTGCGCCATCTTTGCTGCCTTTCCAGGTGCATAGCAGGAAGCTAGATCAGAAGCGGAGTGGCTGAGACTCAAACCAGTGCTCTGATATGAGATGTGGGCATCCCAGGCTGCTGCTAACTCACTGTACCACAACTCTCACCCCCAGAGTTTTTTTTTGTAAATGGCAAATGTTCAGTAATTATCTGTTGGTTGATTTTCTGATCAGGGTGGGAAATTTGACCAAGAAAAATACATTGTACAAATGTATAAGGAGAAGTGTCACTGAAAGCAAGAGCACTTGAAGAACTTTGTATCTTAAAGTATTGATATCATATTTAATGCATTTTTAAAAAAAATGTAAGGGCTGGTGCTGTGGCGAAGCGGGTTAATGCCCTGGCCTGAAGCGCTGGCATCCCATATGGGTGCCGGTTCGAGTCCCAGCTGCTCCTCTTCTGATCCAGCTCTCTGCTATGGCCTGGGAAAGCAGTAGAAGATGGCTCAAGTCTTTGGGCCCCTGCACCCACGAGGGAGACCGAGAAGAACCTCCTGGCTCCTGGCTTCAGATCGGCGCAGCTCTGGCTGTTGCGGCCATTTGTGGAGTGAACCAACAGATGGAAGACCTCTCTCTCTCTCTGCCTTTCCTCTCTCTGTGTAACTCTGACTTTCAAATAAATAAGTAAATCTTTAAAAAAATTTTAGTCATTTGAAAGTTAGATTGACACACACAGAGACAAGAGATCTTCCATCTGCTGGCCCATTCCTCAAATGGCTGCAACAGTCCAGGCTGAGCCAGGCTGAAGCCAGGAGCCAGGATCTCCATCTGAATCTTCCCACCTGGATGGCAAGGACCCAATTACTTGGGCCACCATCCACTGCCTTACCAGGTGCACTAACAGGAAGCTGGGTCAGAAGCAGAGCATCTGGGACTCAAACCTGCACTGTGACATGGGATGCCAGCATCACAGTGGCTGCCTAATCCACTACACCACAATGCCAGCATTGCATTTTTTTTAAAAGATTTATTTATTGGCCGGCGCCGCGGCTCACTAGGCTAATCCTCTGCCTAGCGGCGCCGGCACACCGGGTTCTAGTCCCGGTCGGGGCGCCAGATTCTGTCCCGGTTGCCCCTCTTCCAGGCCAGCCCTCTGCTGTGGCCAGGGAGTGCAGTGGAGGATGGCCCAGGTGCTTGGGCCCTGCACCCCATGGGAGACCAGGAAAAGCACCTGGCTCCTGGCTCCTGCCATCGGATCAGCGCGGTGCGCCGGCCGCAGCCCGCAGCGCGCCGGCCGCGGCGGCCATTGGAGGGTGAACCAACGGCAAAAAGGAAGACCTTTCTCTCTGTCTCTCTCTCTCTCACTGTCCACTCTGCCTGTCAAAAAATAAAAAAAATAAAAAAAATAAAAAAAAAGATTTATTTATTTGAAAGTTCAAGATATACAGAGAGAGACAGACAGACAGACAGAGAAAGACAGATCTTCTGTCTTCTGGTTCATTCCCCAGATGGCCACAATGACTAGGGCTGAGCCAGGCCAAAGCCAGGAGCCTGGAGTTTCTTCCAGGTCTCCCATGTGGGCAGCAGGGGCCCAAGCAGTTGGGCCATCGTTCAGTGCTTTTCTAGGCCATTTGCAGGGAGCTGGGTTGCAAGTGGAGCAGCTGGGACACAAACCAGTCCCTATATGAGATGCTGGCTTCTCAGGTGGTGGTTCTACCTGCTACACCAGTGCTCTGGCCCCTAGCATTGCATTTCTAAGTTAAAAGTTATCTGTGGGCTAGTAAAACTACTGGAAGCATTTCCTGGTGTCTTTGAAAAATGCTGTTTGAAGTATATTAAACAATAACAAATATAATTAAGATGTAAAATTTTGATTTCAAATGTTAGATACCTATCTCTTGCATTTGAAAAAAAGTCTACATTACATAATGTCACTTTAGTGATTCTTTTTTTTTCTTTTAAATATTTATTTATTTATTTATTTGAGAGGCAAAATTACAGAGAGAGGAAGAGACAGAGGGAAAGGTCTTCCATTCACTGATTAACTCCCCAAACGGCCCCAACAGCCAGAACTGAGCCGATCCAAAGCCAGGAGCCAGATGCTTCTTCCAGGTCTTCCACGTGGGTGCGGGCGACTATTTTCCACTGCTTTCCCATGCCATAAGCAAAGAGCTGAATTGGAAGAGGAGTAGCTAGGACTTGAACCAGTGCCCATCTGGGATGCCAGCACCATAGGGAGAGGCTTAACCCACTACACCACAACACCAACCCCTTGTTACTTTTCTAAACAACTCACAATATGGATTTAAATGTATTTTGGGGGGTAGGTGTTTGGCACAGAAGATGCTACTTGGGACACTTGCATCCACTGTCAGAGTACTAGGTTTGAGTCTCAACTCCATTTCCAATTCCAGCTTCTTGCTAATGCACATTCTGGGAGGCAGCAGGTGGTATCTAAAGTTCTTAGTCCCCTGCTACCCACATAGGAGACCTGGATGTAGTTCCAGGCTCCTGGCTTCACCTTTCTAGTCCTGGCTGTAATGGGTATTTGGAAAGTGAACCAGGGGATAGAAGATTCCCTCTCTCTCTGCCTTTCAAATAAATTAAAACAAACATTTTAATGTTTTGAATTTTTTTTAAAGATTTATTTATTTGCAAGAGATAGTCAGAGAGGGGGGAAGAGAGAGAGAGAGAGAGAGAGAGAGAGAAACAGAGAGAGAGGTCTTCCATCTGATGGTTCACTCCTCAGATGGCTGCAACCGCCAGAGCAGTGCCGATCCAAAGCCAGGAGCCAGGAGCTTCTCCCGAGTCTTCCACGTGGGTGCAGGGGCCCAAGGACTTGGGCCATCTTCCACTGCTATCCCAGGTCATAGCAGAGAGCTGGATTGGAAGAGGAGCAGCCGGCGCCCATATGGGATGCCGGCGCTTCAGGTGAGGGCATTAACCTGCTGTGCCACAGTGCCAGCCCCAGTGTTTTTAATTTTTAAAATCAATTTATCTATTTGAATGGCAGAATTACAGAGAGGCAGAGGCAGAGGGAGAGAGAGAAAAAGAGAGAGAGAGAGAAAGAGAGAGGTCTTCCATCTCCTGGTTCACTCATCCACTCATCAGTGGCCGCAATGGCTGAAGCTGTGTCAGTCAGAAGCCAGGAGCCAGGAGCTTCTTCCGGGTCTCCCACGTGGGTACAGGGGTCCAAGAACTTGGGCCATCTTCTATTGCTTTCCCATACCATAGCAAAGAGCTGGATCAGAAGTGGAGCAGTCGGGACTCAAACTGGTGTCGCTATGGGATACTGGCACTGCAAGTGGTGGCTTTACCTGCTACGCTACAGCCCTGTCCCCTAATGTTTTGAATATAAAAAAAAAAGGCAAAGAATCTGTCACTCTGACTTTCATAATAGGCAGCTTAGTTCCTGTTTAAACATAAATTCTTGCACAATTTTAATCATGCAATGCAACATCTTCTCAAAATTTGTGTAGGGGGACCGTCTTGCTTTATGGAAGGGTATTAAAATACCCAGCACCCAGGAAGCATAAGGTAAGACTTTGTTGAATTGATTCTTTGATTAAGATTCTAGCATCTGGGGCCAACACTGTGGTGTAGCGGGTAAAGCCACCGCCTGCAATGCCAGCATCTTATACAGGCATTGGTTCGAGTCCCAGCTGCTCCACTTCTGATCCAGCTCTCTGCTACGGCCTGAGAAAGCAGCAGAAGATGACCCAAGTACTTGGGCCCCTGCACCCATGTGGGAGAACCAGAAGAAGCTCCTGGCTCCTGGCTGCAGATTGGTGCTGCTGTGGCCATTGCAGCCAACTGGGGAGTGAACCAGTAGGTTGGAAGATATCTCTCTCTCTCTCTGCCTCTTCTTCTCTCTGTGTGTAACTCTGACTTTCAAATAAATAAATAAATCTTAAAAAAAAAAAAGATTCTAGCACTGAGTTAGCACTGTGCTAAGCTTATGATGAGGAGGAAAATATGGTATAAGAGTGGAAATTTAATTGATGCTTTGGGGGCCAGTGTTGTAGTGTAGCAGGAAAAGCCACCACCTGTGACACTGGCATCCCATGTGGGCACTGGTTCATGTCCCAGTTGCTCCACCTCTGATGCAGCTCCCTGCTAATGGCCTGGGAAGAGCAGCAAAAGATGGCTCCTGCCACCCCTGTGGAAGACCTCGAAGAAGCTGCTGGCTCCTGGCTTTGGCCTGGCCCAGCCTGGACGTTGTGACCATCTGGGGAGTGAAAGAGCAGATGGAAGGTCTCTCTCTCTCTCTTTCCCTCTCTCTGTAACTCTTTCAAATAAATATTTTTTTTAAAAAATGGATGCTATGATTCATATAAATTATGCATAACTTAAAAGAGATATTGTTTATTTTTAATTCTTCATTTGAAGTCATCTATTTTGGTGATTCATGGTCTGCTTTTCTACTTTTCAGAAATTCTTTCTGCATTCCCAACACTAGCCACCCTGCACACATCATCAAACATTGGCCTAGAAAGTCTAGAGTTTTAGAGGACAGTGATTGAAAGCTCTGGCTCAGATCAGAAAGCTTGGGTAACCTTAATGTTCCTCAATTTCCTCATCTGCAAAAAGGTAACGATAATCTTATATACAGAATTTTTAGAAAAATTACATACTACACCTAATGCACGATGTAGGCTTAGCACACCAAAAAGCCTCAACTACTACTGGCTAATGACTATCACATTTCACCTTAGCCTGTCCCTGATGGTCTTCTTTGCTTGCAAGTAAGTGCTGGACAGTCATTCATAATTTAATGGCAGTTGTTGCTTAATGTAATTTATGGTATTTGGGTGGAGAACTACTTATCAAAGCCAAAGATTATGCATTCTGTTTATGTCATATTGATTCAATCACTAAATAACCAGAATGTGTGTCTTTGGCCCTATGTTACTCAGTAGTTGAGTGATTTAATTGTTGGAACTGATATCTGGTCTTAAATTATATTTTTACGTAGGATCAGTCTTCTGGTAGGGAAAGCAGGCCTCCACCCATACAGATCATTCTGCCCAGATACTTTTGTCCTAGATTTTGCCACAAGTTCAAATAAAAATACTTTGGTTTCTATAATCTTGGGATAATATTTCTTTGATTTTTATGCTGTGCTGTTGAAATACTGCCAAATATCCTGTCTTTCCTATTCTTATCTGCTGTATCCAGCTGATCATATGCTCTGCGAACTTTTGCCCTGGCTCTAGTTAGCTTACCCTCAAAGACTGAAAATCTTGCATGGGAGGTTTCTGTTTGCTACTTCTTCCCATTTCAATTCATGTTGGATGCTTCAAAATACTTCACAAAACAAATTGACTTACCCATGAACACCTCCCTTAAATTTTCTTACAGTATCATTTTATATATGAACCACGATGCCTTTAGCTTGGAGTAAGGGGAGATGTGACACAATATATTTAAATATTATAACACCATTTGTTGGGATGTGCCCATGCTCTTAGGCAACCACACCCTGATAGCATAGCAACTGCAAATTTAACTAACTATCTTAATTTCAAATAAATCACTGTGTGTCACAAATGTTTGTAACTAGAATTAGAGCAGCCAGTTTTGGATACCACCCCCCTACTCACTCCCGCTGCGCCCAGTAAGTAGTCGGGTCCTGGAGTTGAAATATCCTGCTTACTATTTTCCTCCCATTTTTCTCCTAAATTATGCCATATTGCATCCTTTTGCCATACTTTACTTCCCTTTCTTACTTTTTTTTTAAAGACTTATTTATTTATTTGGCAGCCAGAGTTACAGAGAAGCAGAGGCAGAGAAAGAGGTCTTCCATCTGCTGGTTCACTCCCCAGATGGCTGCAACAGTTTCCATCCACTGGTTTGCTCCCTACACAAAGTAGAAACAGCCAGATCTGAGCTGACCCGAAACCAGGAGCCAGGAGTTTCTGGGTCTCCCACGTGGGTGCAGGGGCCCAAGTATTTGGGCCATCTTCCACTGTTTTCCCAGGCCATAGCAGAGAGCTGGATTGGAAGGGGAGCGTCCGGGACTCAAACCAGTGCCCATGTGGGATGCCAGCAATGCAAGTGGAGGCTTAACCCACTATGCCACAGCACCAGCTCCTCCTTTACCATTTAAACAGAGCCCCAGATGATAGCCTAACCTATAGCTAATCTCTATACGTGCACTAATGGTAGTAAGAATTTTTTTTGCTAAAGAAGACTCAAAACAACAGTGCTTACGAATCAAGAGTTTATTAAAAGAAAAGGATGTATCAATGTCTTTAGAGTAAGAATATACATCACAGTAAAGATTGCCTCACAGCAAGGGGTCCCCAGAGACTGGGGCAGGCTCCTTTGAGTGCTCAACATAAAGGCTGAGGCTGCATGGAGTTTCTCTTTCAGATCAGGGGCCACTGATGTAGACACAGAGTACCATGGAAGCAGAAAGCCCAGAATGGAGTGTTGGCTGCAGAATATATTTCGCTGGTCACATAGGCATATTCTGCCAAGTAAACAGTCTCAACAGCAAAACTGGAAGGAGATGTAAAACATCAATCTCACAGATACTAATAGTCAGTGTTGAAAAGTGCTACAAACTTCTTGGACCCAGGGTTACAAAGCAATTCTATGATCAAGATGTTTCATGTCTTGACCAGGAGTCAACACCATGCAAGAACTCTAACAAAATAGTTCAGGCCAATTCCCACCAACCTGCTAGAATTCACTGTCACAGTATAATCTACTGCTCTAGGCTGAGATCAAGGCCTTATTATGACAAAACAATTCTCTTTAGTTTGACAGAAGTTACTTGACTTATGTTAGACATGCACACACAGATTCTAAACATTTGCAATAACTGGTGAAGAATGGATATGGATTTAAACAGAAACTGAGTCATTGAACAATACCAGTGTAATTTTTCTCCTGTTTTTACACTGTACAATTTGTTTGCCTCACTGAGATACAGCTATCTGAACTTTGAGGTATACACCTGCTAAATGATTAAGAATCACATTAGGGGCAGGCACTTAGGCTAGCAGTTAAGACACCAGTTGAGACACCTGCATCCTACATCAGAGTGCCTGGTTTCGATTCACTCTGGCTCCTGCTTCCTGCTAATACAGACCCTGGGAAGCAGCAGTATGACTCAAGAAATTGGGTTTCTGCCATCTTGTGGGAGACACAGATTACATTCCCAGATGCTGCCTTTGGCCCCAGCCCAGCCACGACCATTAGCAAGCATTTGGAAAGTGAATCAGAGGATAGGAGTGTTGTCTCTCTCTCTGTCTCCCACAAATTAACAAATCTAAAAGAATTATAATCACTCTATCATTAGCCGAATCTGTATTTTCCTAAGATAAATTCTCCTCAATAAGGATATTTTCCTGCAAAACAAAAACCAGAAGATAGCCATATTAGCGTTTTTCTATCTATCATAGTTAGAGCTCCCCTTTCCCATTCTTTTTTGAGAATTTTCTTGGCATTCAGCTCACTTTTTGGCTCTTCAAATAAGTAGTTTTGAGTTCTTCTCCCTGCAGATATGAGTGAGTCCAAGCTAAAATATCGCTTTCTTTTTCTAAGCCTCTTTCTGAATCTCACCAAAACTGTTCTATTTTCCCTTTTATAAACCTTTTCATTGACTCCTTTCCCTTCAGCAACAGTTTAACTTGTGTTTCATTAATCATTAATTTTAATTCTAACCTTTCTCCCTGAAGCAGGTCACTCTTCATACAGACTAGCCTGTATGGCTGGGAGTATGATGAGAACATGGCCAGACTTCCCTTCTGGTCAAGTCTCAACTGTAGGGGTCAGATTGTGTAAGGAGAGAAAGTGGGGTTATCCTGTCTACGAGGCAACAAAACATCTGCCAGTTAGGCTCAACTTGGCAAGATGGGGAAAGGGATAGTCAATCTTATCAGTCCCTTCTGGAATTTTGCAATAAGGTTTAAATTAATATACATAGTGTCTTATTTTAGAATGCTATTAAATTAAACCTCTGGAAAACTTAATTATAGACAGTCTAGGAACAGTTGAGTTGACACTGGAAAAAATTTTGGTGAACTAGGGAAGACTTGTATTCAAGTTCCTGTTATCACTCCCTCCCCATTCTCTTTTCCCTACTTCCACTGTATAAACCTAACAATTTATGTACCCAACTTAGACCTTGAATATAATAAGGAAAACCAAACTTTTATCTTACTTTTCTTTCAATACAACACAACACAGAATACTTTTGTGTGGATTTCCCCCAACAAACAATTCTGACACCAGCTGGGTGTTCTATAATTCAATTCAGTTCTCACGCTATCTACTGGAGATAGCGTGAGAACCTACAGCTTAAGGACTCAGTCACAGAGGACTACCCTTTCTTCAGATGTCAGTTGCAAGTTCCAGGTTTTGAAGTGTGCTTTCAACATATAGGATAAAAATAGAAGTTCCCATGAGTACTTCTCAGGGTCGATAACTAGCTAAGACAGTTCACAGAACTCAGGAAAACACTTTACTTATATATACTCAGTTATTATAAAGAATATTACAATGCAGGTAAAAGCCAGATGAAGAGGTATGAAGAGGTACATAGAGCAAGACATGTGGAAAGGGGAATAGATATTCTATCCCTTTCTGGGCTCATCTGCCTCCAGGTACCTCCATTCCCATTCTTTTGGATTTTTATGGATGGTTCCTTATATATGCATACTTGATTAAATCATTGGCCACTGGTGATCGGCTCAGTCTTCATCCACTCTCTTCTCCCCCTGGAATGAGGTAATGATAGGGTTGAAAGTTCCAACTCTCACATGGTTGGTTCCCCTGGCAACTGGCCCCTTTCCTGAAGCCATCCAGGAGTCCCCAGCCACCAGTTACCTCATTAGCATGCAAAAATATGCTTAACATTTTAGAGATCCCAGGAGTTTTAGGAGCTGTGTGCCAGGAAAGGGGGTATGTGTCAGAAAGAAAAATAGTCTATATATTTATTATTATTTTACAGTCTGCCTCACATTAAATTGCAAAACACAAACTAGAGGTTTGTAGACTAATCCTATAATCCTTTGTCACTCCTGCATATTTCAAAGCAGTTGTAATTGTTTATTAACCTACTACTTTGAGGGTGATGAGGAATATGATATCTAATACATTACATATGAGTTTGCTTTTTGCCCGTTATTGCACCATATGGGAAAGGAAAAGAATCCCTGATCTGAGGAAATGTAATTTGGGGGACCAAAGTACAATATTTTTGTTGCAGCTTTTTGATAGCATTTGCTGTGGTCACTAAATAAGCAAAACCAAATCCAGGATATATATTGTATGGGAGAGACAGATCTCACCTACACCTCTCCCCTCCCCCATCTTTAATTCTTCTGTGGGCTCTTTGCCTGGGTTAGAAACAAATTAACACCAAGCAGATTAATAGAAGAACATACAAGTTAGATTAATTTTACACTTACATAGGGATCTCAACAAGGCAGTAAAGTCTAAAGAAATGACCAAAGCATGATGCATTTATACGTTAAAGAAAATTTATTTATTTATTTGAAAGGCAGAGTGACAGAGAGGGAGATGCAGAGGCAGAGAGAGAGGTCTCCCATCTGCTGGTTCACTTCCCAAATGGCTGCAACGGAAGGAGCCACGCCAATCCAAAGCCAGGAGCCAGGAGCCAGGAGCTTTTTCCGGGTCTCCAACATGGGTGCAAGGGCCCAAGGACTTGAGCCATCTTCTACTGCTTTCCCAGGGAATAGCAGAGAGCTGGATCGGAAGTGGAGCAGCCAGGACTCGAACCAGCACCCATATGGGATGCTGGCACTGCAGGCAACAGGCTTTTCCCACTGCACCACAGCAGCAGCCCCACTCCTTCAGTATTGAGGTCTGACAACATCTACTTAAGTAGTAGAAAACATATCAATATAATCTATCCACCAGTTATGGGCTGAACCTTCTCCTTTTGGAATACTTCCCAATTAAATACTGCCTTCAAAACAAATTGTCATTTCACTTGAAAGGCAGAGAGACACAAACACAGAGAAAGAGTGAGAGAGATTTTCCATGAGTTGCTTCATTTCCCAAATGCCCACAATAGCCAGGAATGTGCCAGGCTAATGCCAGGAGCCAAGAACTCCATCCTAGTATCCCTTGTGGATGGCAGGGAACCAAGTACTTGAGCCATCATCTACTGCCTTCCCAGGGTATGCAGTAGCAGGAAGCTGTATTGGAAGTAGAGCTAGGACTCAAACCAGAAAATCTTATATGGGTATCAGCAAATAGAACATTATTAATGATTTGAGCTTCCATCTGGGCCACTGGGGTATGTTGTCTCCTGGTCCACTGCTGCATGATTTGAATTTTCTCATGTTAACTTATCTGAAACTAAGGCATCAACTTGTTGATTGCAATCATCTTTGGACCTTGCATAGAGGT